AACATCGACAACATTTACTAGTGAAGGTATATAAAAATTTTCATTAAATTTTTCTTTTTATTGATAATTTTATATTAGGAATTTTAACTCCAATACTTTTTCATGAGATATCAGCAAGTTTATATGATGATGAATGGCGTCGATTAGCACGTCGTTTAGGTATGACACGTATACGTATTGAAGCTATTGAACATGAATATCAAGATGAAGCACCTTATTATATGTTACTTACATGGTTTAAACGTGCACCACGTTCAGTTGATAAAGATTTATTATTAATTCATGGGTTAATGAATATAAATCGATGGGATATAGCACAAGAATTACAATCAATGAAAGAGGCTAAAAGTCAAGAACAAATCACATCTTCAAAAGATGGTAATTATAAACATGAAAAAAAGGATTTTCAAAAAGATTAAAAAGATTCTTTGTTTATTTTTTTTTTTGAAATCTTCAGATCAATTAAGAATATTAAGTGTACCATTTAATCGTATTTGTCAACATGATGAATGTGTTCGTATGTGGAAACAAATAGCACGTGAATTAACATTAACTAATGAAGATATTCAACGTATTGAAGAACAATATTCATCAAAACAAGAACAATGTTTAAGAAGTTTAGAACAATGGGCTTTAAATAATAGTCAAGCTGATATTAAAAGTTTATCTCGTATAATAAGATCACTTGGTTTTAAGTCTCTTAGTCGTATGTATAAATATATAAATGATATTGAGTTTTGTTTATAATAGAATATTTCTTTTTTTGTAGGTGAACTTGACAATATGGCATAAAAACAAATATTTAATTCATTCCTTGTGAATTTTGTACATTTATTTTATAATTATGTTTTAATAATAATGTTTTATTATTTTCTTTTTCTTTACATTTAGAGATTTATTGTTTCTTTTGATAGATTAAAAAGAAAACAATCGTCACTAAAATTTGTTTTGATAAAAAAAATGAATACAAATTTATTTGACTAGAAAGATTACAAACCTTGACGAAAATTCGAGGCCGAAAATAATTGTATTGAAACAAAAATAATAATAAGAAGCAAAGAAAATTAACATGAATAGTAAGGTGAACGAGTAAATAGAGATGTCCATCAAGGCTGAAGACTTGTCACCATCACAACGATAGAAGAAAAAAGCTCGCCCGCTGCGATGTATTTGAAAAGATATTTCGCACTTCACTACTGTTACTAATTCATAAGATTTATAGAATAGCATAGTATTATATTTATGAACATTGACAATATGTGCAAATTCATGCACTTTTATAATGTTCTTCAAAGAGAAACTGCCGGCGTTGTGATAGTGTTGTTAAACCAACTCCTGTAGCGCCGACACTGCGGTGGACAACTCTGCAAATAATTGAAAAAAAAACGAATATTATTATAAATCCTTTCAGTATATTCTCCTTTTTTTTCTCTTAGAGTATTTTAATGACAGTTATAAAATACAAAGTAGACGTGAAAAGTACTTAAGAGAGACTTTATGAGTTGATCGGGAAGGTCAATTTTATAGTCGAAATTAATATATACTTTTTTTATGCCAATCGATTTCTCACATCAAACTGTGGTTATAAAAAAAATTTTTAAGTTTCTGTAATTTGATTTGACAGAGTTATAGGCGTTAGAACAGAAAGGGATCTGAAAAACCAGAAAAAATAATCAGTTTCATCACTTTGCCTTGTTTTTCCATTATCTTCATCATTTTTTGTCTGCTCATGTTAAGCAACGTCTCATTCAAAAGAGTATGTCAAACTAAACAAAAAGCTACTTATTATTGCTTGAAAAAATTGAACTCTGATATAAAAAAAAATTTGTTTTTAAAAAACTTCGCATTTTTAAACTAAATTTTTTTCATTGTAAGTCCTTTTTTAGTATGATAAAAGGCCGAAGAGAAACTTTAGTATAGTGCACCTTGTAGAGCATTTTGCGTTCTACAACATTCTTGTAGAGATTTTGCAAAAAATGTTTCAAGAAGAACCAAAAAAGATGGGAGAACATTATTCAGTAACACATATTTGTATTTTTTTTGCGTGTTATTCAGCAGATTTCGGTTAGAAAAATGGCAATTTGATCAAAATTAACATCATATTCTGAATCAGCATCGAAAACTGAGTCGATCTCCATGTATTTCAGATATTTTTGAAGCATTTGTTTTTATCAAAAAATTAACTCCTATTCCCCTTCAGAGTTGGATCAAAAATAAATTTCACGAAAACACTGTTTTCACTGTTTCGACATCGGCCAGTTTGTGTTCTACTATCATTTTATAACCTTAGAATTTCTGTGTCAGTACTGAAATAACGTTTTGATGAAATTCATTTTTTGGTCGAATCCCGAGAGAGAGTAGGGCTAATTTTTCGATAAAAACAAATGTTTCAGACATCTGAAATATATATGGATCGACTCAATTTGTGCTGCTCATCCAGAATATGATATCAGTTTTGAGCAAATTACCATTTTTCTAACCAAAATCTGCTGAATAACACGCAAAAAAACACAAATATGTGTTACTGAATAATGTTCTTCCATCTTTTTTGGTTCTTCTTGAAACATTTTTTGCAAAATCTCTACAAGAATTTTGTAGAACACAAAATGCTCTGCAAGGTACACTATATTAAAGTTTCTCTTCAATCTTTTATCATACTAAAAAAGGACTCACAATGAAAAAAATTTAGTTTAAAAATGCGAAGTTTTTAAAAAAAATTTTTTTTTTATGTCACAGTTCAATTTTTTAAAGCAACAATAAGTAGCTTTTTGTTCAGTTTGACATACTCTTTTGAATGAGGCGTTGCCTGACATGAGCAGACAAAAAATGATGAAGATAATAGAAAAACAAAGCAAAGCGATGAAACTGATTCTGTTTTCTGGTTTTTCAGATCCCTTTCTGTTCTAACGCCTATAACTCTGTCAAATCAAATTACAGACACGTAAACATTTTTTTATAATGACAATTTGATGTGAGAAATCGATTGGCATAAAAAAAGTATATGTTAAATTTGGCCCATCAAATGACCCTATTGAGGAATACTCGACTGACTGGCGAAGTCTTTCTTAAGAATAGGGCATCCGAGAACATTAGAAGACTTTTTTTGAAAATTTGAAATTGTTGTTCTCGATAATTCAACTTCGCACTTTGTGCCTATTTTCATGTTTTATAAGTCAAAATATTATTCAATTCGTAATCAATTCTAGCTATGTAAATCTCTCTTGAACTAGAAGAGAATTGATCATCATATTCATTCCACTAATCAAGATCCTTCTGGTCACTTTTGGGTTTTTCTTGATGATCAGTGAAGATTTTTTTTCAGGTATTCCAGCACATGTTTGTTATGTGAAAACAAAACAGATTTTGACTTTTTGGCAAGACTCTTGCGTTTCCGATTTCTTGTAATTTATGTATAGCTTCTGTTATACGTTGATGAGATTGTTTTCTTTTATTGTCGTTCTATTTTATTTTCATGTTTTTAACAAAATACACAAGAAAAAACTAACTAACACAAAGATACAATCCATCTTATGCAACTTCAGATAAAATGCAAACGGACGAAATGATCTGTTACAATGATGAAAACGATATCTATGATGCGTAAAACTAATTTTAATTATGTTATATGCGCTTTTCATTTTGTTTTCTTCAGTTTTACATTCAAAATGATTCAACTCATAGTAAAAACTCACAACTTAAATAATAAAGTTGTTAACAGGCACGTTAAAAATCGAATTCATAGTGGGCGACATACGTTTAGAGCAGTTGTATTTTTAAGTTTTTTTCTCAGTGGTAATAGCTAGCAAGAATCTGAAAAGATATTTGAGTAGCTGAAAGAATCTTCTACTAGAATTATTAGATCTAAAAACTCCAATAAAACTGCCTGGATGAAGATGTCTGAAAAACCAAGACCGCCAAAACTAGTTTTCTGATATTCATCTGATGCTTTTTGGAGATGCTTTTACTTGATAGAGCAAAATGAGATTTCTCGTTTCTCTTCATGACGTTCATTTATTGAACTGCATGCACTTTATGCAAGATACCATAGCGTCAAACACTCGGGAATCGTTGAAATTATTCATAAAAACAAAGGAAAAATGTTTATTGGATCCTTTGTAAATTGAATGTAGTTCGATAAAGGAACATCTTGAAGAGGCAAGAGACATCTCATTTTGCTCTCTCAAATAAAACCATTTTCACGAAGCTTCAGATGGATATCAGAAAACTAGTTTTGGAGATCTTGATTTTCCAGATATCCTATTCCAAGCAGTTTTATTGGAATTTTTAGGTCCACAGATCCTGATAGAGAATCCTTTCAGCTACTGAAATGTTTTTTTTCGATTCTTCCTACTTAGTTATTACCATCGAGAAGAACATTCAAAAATAAAATTGCTCCAAACTTTTGTCCTTCACTATACATGAGTAAGTAGATTCAAAGATCCTCAATAGCAAGGAACATTCTTTCATCTTGAGTAGAAAAGCTTTTAGTATTTTATTCGAATTAATCATTTCAAGTATGTTTATTCGTATGATTTGCATGAATTTAGTGATTGAATTACTTTAAATGTGCACATAACTCAAGCAAACATTCAATTGCTTCTCTATAGAAAGAAAGTCATGTGATATGGACACATCTTGAAGTCTATATACGTCAAGCACATGAAAACAAAAAAGTTTAACTCGAGATATTAATAAGTAAATAAAGCACATATCATATATCTTAAATGTCAGACAAAAAACTTTCAAAAGAAAAAAAAAATAAAGAACCTTGCTCAAATTTCAAGGAATCTTATAATTCTTAATCAATGATCAATCAAGATTCTTTTCATCTTAAACTTCCAACAATGAAAAGAATAAATCTACAAATATTGTTTAATGCAAACATCAAGTTTTTTGAATACAACATTGTTTCCATTTAAGAAAGGAACTATGTTTATTGGGTTCTATAAGAATAAATGATTATTAAAAAGACAAAAAAGAAAAAGATTAAAATTTGATAATCAAAGATCATGTCCAAGTTCATGTATTTCATCAATCATAGCAATAATATCGTCTTTTGTTGTTGCTGGATTCGATATAATTGCACGAAAAAAATTTGGATGATGATCAAGGCGTTGATAACCAACCATCATTGTGCCATTTGTCATCATACGTTCTTTAATTCGAGGTGCTATCTTTAAAAAAAAAAAAGAAGACTTAAATTAATATCTTTAAACGAGTATGTAGTTACTTTATTCAATCGTTCGTTATATTCAGGTGATGTTTGATCAATATTTTGTAAACTGGGCGGAATATACCAAAAACAAACGTTAATAAATGGTGGCTACCAAAGAAAATAAAATAAACTTTTTTGTTTTTAATTATGAATATAAATTTTATTTACTTTTATAACCATTCGAAAAAATGGTTCACGTTTAGATATTGTTTCGTAGAAAAAATTTGCTTTTTCAAGTAATGTTTCAATATGTTCAGCATAACCTTGTTGACCACGAGCTTTCCATCCAAGCCATAATTTTAATATATCAACATGTCGACCGCATTGAATTGTTTTATCACCTGTATCAAGTGATGTTTCATAATGTTTATCTGGTTGAAATAAATAACCGGCAAACATTTGATTGGCTTCCATAAGAACATTCTATAGAAAAAACTTTTGTTTTATAATCGAAATATTTTCAAACAATATATCAGATTAATTATTTATTGAATAGTTCGAATCATTATTTCTCTTTAACTTGAGTAAACAATTCTTTTCGATCCTTCGTTCAATCTCAATATTTCATATGTGATCAACTTATTATACTGTAATTCCATTCTTTTTTTTTTGTGATAATTCATGATGGAATCAAACTCTTCTTCATGTCAATAAGAAAACAATGTCAAAAACCAAATAGTCTTTCTCTAATTCTAATGTATTTTGTTCTTCAATAATGGGATGAAAAAACAAAGAGGAATAAGATCAAATTTTTGACTAAACATACCGAATGTCTTATTAAAAAAGTTGAACATTGAAGATGAACTGACATTAGTTTATGAGGATTCCATGTAAATGAATCTACTCTAATATATATAATATACATATAAATTAATAAAATGATTATTTTCTTAAATATAAATTCTTACTTGTCAATACCTTGAAGAAGATGTTTTGTTTTTGGTGATAACAATGCTGAACCACCCCATGCTCCCTAAATAGATTCATTTATTGTTACAATAAAAGAGAAAAAATAGACATAAAACAATTTACATCAACATGAAGCCAAATTTTATATTTACGACAAACAACTACAATATCTTCAATAGGATCAAATGCACCGAAAACTGTTGTTCCTGCTGTAATACCAACAAAAAATACGGAAAATCCTAATTGTTGACAATAAAGTATTTTTTCTTCCATCTTTTCAGCTGATACTCGACCACTAAAATAAATAAATAAATAAATACAATAAAAAAAATAAATTTTCATTCAACAATAAGAATATTATTCATTTATTTTAACTTACGATTCATCTGGATCGACTTCATAAACATGATCTGTTCCTATACCAAGTATGGCAGCAGCTCGTTTCATTGAATAGTGACACTTTTTAAAAAAAAGAAAATTTATACAAAAAAAATCCAGTATCCTTCCATAGTTAATGTACTAAGTTCAGGGTATCCTGCTACCAATATGTCATAGGAATCTTTGGGTACTTAATGAATTTTTAGCACTTAACTACAAAATGCTTATACTTAGTCAATCTACTAACTTGTCAAAAAAGTCTTTCATAGATTGCTATAGAAACTGGACAGGTACCGAGATAATTCTCAGCAGGGTACCCTGCTGGCAAATGGTCCAGCACACACGAACACCTTGCACTCAAATGCAAGTCTCTTCAGATGTCAAATTACTTTTTGACTGAGATGATGTTTATTTGATGAGTAGTACTAGTGAGTAAGAGGAAAGTCTACAATGGTTTAGTTTTTCAAGCCTTCATTCTTGAGATATCGATATTTTACTAGATTTTTCAACAACAAGTTATAGCCTTCCTCAGATCACGTGGAAAAATCGAGTTTCAACCTCGAACTTTTCACGAACAAAGTTTTCAATGAGATTAGCTCATGAGTCAAGTTGTAACTTTTCTAGCATCTCCTATCCTGAAATATTCAATATTAGAAATTCTCTGATGTGTAAAAGCAAATTTTATACATTTTCGAAAAGAAAACAATAGAAAAGCTAAAACTTCAACCATCAACTAGTTTCATTGAGAACTTTGTTCGTGCAAAGTTTGAAGTCAAAACTCTAAAGTCAATTTGCCACGTGACTTGAGGAGGACAAAAAAGCCTAGTAAAATTTCGATATCGCGAGGATGAAAGCTGGGCAAAACTAAACCATTCTATACTTTTCATTACTCATTCGTACACATTAAATAAACATCGTCTTGGTGTTGAAAAGCAATTTAACACCTGAAGAAGTTTCTTTGTCAGTACATTTACTAGTATTCAATATTCGTACATGTTTTGAGATAACCATAGCCGGATGTAATCCACTTTGAATACCATATTTTTTTATTTGTGGATATGCATAATGTCTAGCTGCTAATACTGCATATAAATTTGACACAGCACCTCCTGGTGCTAAAACTCCATCACCATTTTTTAATAATGATTCTTTATTTGACCAACCACAACATTGACGCATATGAGCAAGAACACTTTCTTCCATTAGATTAAAAACTGGTGCGACTTCATATGTAAACATATTTGCATTAACAGATGAAGTTATAATTTCACCTACAAGTGATATTATATCAACACCTTGACTTAATTGATTGATAAAACGAGGATGACCTTTTATAATGTTATAAAAAACAAATAAATCAAATGTGTTTAAAATAAACGAAAAGAATTTATTTTACTATACCTGATCGAACAGTTGTTTCAAGAATACGTTCACAATTCGCAAGTATATCATATAAACTAATGCTTTCATCATCTATATCAAATGTAAACATTTTTCGATATTCAGCCGGTGTACGAAGTCCATTTTTAATAACCTATTTAAATATTCTTAAGAAATAAAAATGTTTTTTCTTTTAAACATATTTATTATTTACAGGTGAATCATGCTCATTCATTTCAGTTATATAACGAAGTATCATATCAATAGTAGCATATAAAAATGTTTTAGTTGTTTTCATATTCGATGTATATGGTATGAGATCTATGAAAATATTTTTTTTATATCTGACAAGAAAACAAAAAAAAAGACGAAGAAGAACTTAATTAAACTTACTTTTATATGTTTGTTCATCTAAGTCATCTACATGAATACGATTTACTGAATTTTTCATTGCTGTTGTTTCGGACATTTTCTTTTCGACAGTAGTTTTATTTCAAATGGAATACAAATACTAATGAATTGAGAGAAGCTTATCCTGTCTTGCTATCAGAGAGGTTCTTATATATATATGGGTGTGTATGTCGATATGAAAAAAATCTATTTGCTTTTTTCGGAAAAAAAGAGAGAGAATCTTTTCCAAAGCACTATTCTTTATTCAAGTACAAAGTAAATAGACATCAAGTGACAAAAACATGTTTTTTCATATACAAACATATTATTGAAGAAAGAAAAAAAAATGAATAGATAATAGAAGCATAGATAGAATGATTGTTTTTTAAACTGAATATAGGTTCAAAATACTGTGGTGGAGGATTTATTGGAGAATCATATAGATTGGTAGAATATTTTTAGTGCTCTTGTAATCACTGTCAATTTCACAAAAGTATCCATCATATATATATACTAAAATCAATTAGTAACTTTGGAAGACGATGACAAACATGTGTCTGGTTTGCGTGCACTATTTTTCAAATTATTCGCCAATATCGTAAACTTTGTTTTTCATGCATACTTATTATGATACTTAGATTGTTCTATATAACGTAAAAGTTTTGAACACTTTGTAATAAATTACTGAAACATGATCATAGAAGGATTAACAAAACTAAATCGATGTTGAGTTAATGAATGAATTCTATTTTCGAATGTTATTAAGAAATATTTTGATTTGTTCGTTGTCCATGAATTTGTTATTTTTTAAAGATATAAAAAACGACTGAAAAGTAATTGGCAAAGATGCAGTTTTCGTACGCATAATTTCCAAGATTCGACAGAATTCGAGATACAACGGTAAACTAATCGTGAAGGCGAGTTTTTTCATTTTGGTATCACTCCGATCTTTTAGTATCAAAAAAAAATTAGTCTCATCATAGGTTCTTACATGTTTATTGGCTTGGTCAATGTTAATCCTAATTTTCTCACGCAATATCACTTTTTACCGATCGTAATGGTGATGATAGAAAGTCTATTCTTATATGTGATCTCTCTTATAAACTATTCATTACTATTTCATTAAGCGATTGAACTCACTTGATAAATAATCTGAACCAGATTATCATTTTTTGTCACTGAAACTTTGCTTTTTCTTTCATTGGAATCGGTTTTCTAGTTGTACAAACCGCTCGATGAAAACAAAAACTTGAATATTTTGTAATAAAAGCCTTCAATATATGAATTCACTAACATTCGATTTTGACATATGACTAGTTCTTTTCCAATTTACATGTGTTCGACTCGCATATCTCAAATTAAATTATTCTTCTCAAATGTAGGCGACGTCAGGTCTGAATTCGAGTATATCCGTGCAGGATTTTCTTAGGAACATGTTCCAAGACTGCTATTCCTATTCCAATTATATGCAGTGGTGTGAAACTTGAAACTTGAATTCAATTGAAATTTCAAGTTTTAAGTTTTGAAATTTTCAAGAATTCGAGGTTCAAGTTGAACATGTATGGGCCTAAGCACGATAAACGTCGCTTACTGTGTACACAGAGACATGCACGGATCTCGGCTCTTCAGAAAGGTGCTTCGCGCCCACACGCCACGACGCTGATATAAAAAGTCAACTAGTCGGGAAAAGTGCTTATCCTCCTCACTGGATATTCTTAGAGTTATTGAATAGTTGCATTCAACTCTCAAGAATGACACGTATCGCCGCATCTGCATAAGACTTTCACAACTTGAAAACTTGAAACTTCAAAATTTCAAAACTTGAAAAGTTGAAATTTCAATTGAATTCAAGTTTCAAGTTTTACACCACTGCGAGAGAGAAGAATCTTTTCATTGTTGGTGCATGAGAGTTTTCGACCAATTTAAGTCCCATAACGACAAGTGATTAGTCATTCTGACATAATTCACTTCGATCACCACTGTATTCTATAGCTCTCTTCTGAATCTAATGCAAATGATACTGTCCACCATACATTCTTGCTTCTTTTTCTTTGTATTTTCAATGTTATGAATCTATTGCACGAAAAACTACCAGTCAATAAAGTCAAAGTTCGGTGCTATCATCGCTAGCATCAGAAAGATTATCAGTCTCGATATCTGATACGTCGTCGATTAATTGTGGCTTCACAGTATTTTCTAAGAATTCATCTGCTGCTTTGTTCGTTGTTTCCACTTTTTCAGCACGACGAATTGCACTTTGTGCAGCTTTGTCATCGAAACCAGCAATAAATTCAGAAGTTAATTCATAGACGTTAGTTAACGAGAAGTTAGTGTTGTTTTTACGAACACATTCTTTTAATCTAGCCCAAGCGATCTCGACGGGATTTAATGAACAATGTCGCACTGGCAGCCGCAAGATTTGTACGTCGAACTCTTATGCTGAAGAGTTGAAGATCTCAACAGATGGAAAGTGAAAACTATTCTTATCGATCATAGCAGATATTCCCAAACGAGAACCTAAATAAAAAATATATATGAATATTGTATCAGGCATAATTGTTAGTATATTACCTTTGCCATCGGTTTTTCTAAGCCTTCCTTTACCAAAATCATCAATCCAGATTGATCTTTTCTTCTCGCCGACATTCATCTACGTTTCGTCGTGAAACAAAATTAAAGCACTAGCTTTTCGCAATTCGTCAAGATTGCGGAAATAAAAAGCACGTTAAGCCACGAAAGAGTTTAGATGAAATCTCAGCTGAATTATTACAAAGTGGTGGAGAGACATTAGCACATCAAATTCACAAACTATGTAATAAAATATGGCATAGCGAAGTGACTCTAGAAGATTGGGGAAAGTCAGTTTTGATCCCATTACCTAAAAAGAGGGATTTATCAGAATGTTCAAATTACAGAACTATTTTCCTCATTAATCATATAAGCAAGATCTTTTTAATAATACTACTAAACAGACTTCAATATCAGTTGAATCCCTATCTTTCTGAAGAACAATCAGGGTTCAGAAAAGATAGAAGTACTGTTCATCAAATCCTAATGTTGAGACTTATAGCGGAAAAGGCAAAAAGAAAAGGTAAAAAAATCTATAATTGCTTCATAGATTTCTAGAAAGCTTTTGATACTGTTAATCATAAAGTTTTGTGGGCAGTATTACAATCTTATGGTGTCGATGGTAAATTAATCAGGTTATTAAAGGAAATCTATGGAAAAACTCAGTCAGCTATCAGAATAAATAAGGAAGATGGAGAAGGTAAAACAAAAACCTTATGGAGTCAATATCAACGGAAATCTAATAAATAACCTATGATTTGCTGATGATATAGATCTTATCGACGAAAATTTTAATAGTCTTACAGAGCAAATCGAAACCACGAACAATTCAGCGAAGCCCGCTGGACTAATTATAAACGCAAAAAAGACAAAAATAATGGTGTTCGGGGAGAAAGACAATAACCAAGAGATTAAGATATCTGGAGAAGTAATAGAAAATGTCAACAGATTCGAATACCTTGGAAGTCTTTTAACCTGGGATAAGACCTGCACTGAAGAAATCAAAAGAAGAATTAGCAAGACAACAGCAGTACTAGCTTCGTTAAAACATAATAAGTAGTGGGAATATCAAAGTAGAAAGTAAACTAAAAATCCTAACTACAACTGTGTTCACTGTTTTATTATATGTATCAGAAACATGGACACTAAAGGAAAGTGATAAAAAGAAATTACTAGCATTTGAGATGAAATGCTATCGTCAAATATTAAAAATCAAATGGACAGATAAAGTATCAAATGAGACTGTAAGAAAAATAATATCCCGAAAAACTACTATTGTGGATATCATAAAAAAGAGAAAGTTACAATTATTTGGACATATTAGTAGAATGGATGATAGCAGGCTAATAAAGCAAGTAGTATTCTCTAGAATGGATGGAAAATCTCGAGTTGGCCATCCTTCTAGAGAATGGTTAGATGATATCACAGATTGGTGCAACTGCAATATACAAGATCTTTTTCATCTAACTCAGAATAGAAAAGGTTGGAAAGATCTTATTCTTTCATCTATTGGTCCCGACGGGAGATAATCCTATGGGACTTATTTATTATATCTTCTGACCTTATCACTTAGTCAAAATACTGAAAAGTGAACAATGTTCTGAAATGCAATCACACATTATATTTTGATTTTTTCGACTTTATTTTAAGGGTAAAGAGTAATGCCATATATACAGTTTTGTAGAGCAAGTCAAGCTCTATCGATTGGTACATGACTTAATTTGAACAGTGAAAAAATTTCAAGAAAAAAATTCATAAAGAAAGATACAAAAATTTTAGAAAGTTTTAGGCGTCTTTTTTGGAGTATGTTTGGGGAGTGTCTCAACTTAGTCCGCCGTAGCCGACTAGTAGCCTATCTTTAGACTGTAATATTTCGGATTCTTCTATGGTATAGCAAGGCCTAACTTTCTATAAGGTTCGGTTCCAAATATCTTTTCTACTATGTTTTTGCTATCCGCGGTTTTTTAATGGAGCGTCTCTTATGTTTTTATTCTCGTTATCGGCGCTTAAAATACTGCCAATCTGACCAGAGAATTAGTCTGTTGATGTTCTAATATACTGAAATACTAAAACACTTCGAACAACCAAAACTATGAAAGTCGAACTTCTTAAACTGTTTCGGAAAAATTTCGAAATAAAACTTCCATTTCTACAAATTTTCTGTATTTCATTACCATTCAACAATATTAATCGATTTTTTCTTCAACCATTTTTAAAAATCCACGCATATATCTTTGACGCACGGAAACATTGCCTTTTCATCTAACTTGGTCGAAAATAATCATTTTAATGCAACATATAAAAATCATTTTTTGGGCATTATTTGTGATCAATTTGCGTCGTTACAGGTATTGTGATTTAAAGACATTTTAATATTATTTTATCATTTTTACATATGTTCTGGCACGGCGTAATTTCGTCGAAATTTGGTTGCAATGGGACATGAGGTCGTGTGCAATTCGAAATTATTGAAAGTTACAACCGATGACGAAAATCGGAAGTGCGTCGTCAGTATTTGATCGTATAGGGCTACATTATGTTTTTGTATATGCAAATAAGTGCTCTGGGCGTATTTTGAAGAGGAGGAGAGAAAAATACATGAAATGTTGTCCTTTACCAAAGAAAACGAACAGAATACATCAATAGAGAGAAGGACGACAGAGGAAGAGAGAATGACGAAAGAGGAAGAGAGAATGACGAAAGAGGATTAGAGAAGGACGAAAGAGGAAGAGAGAAGCATGTCCCACCGGTAGATTTTTATGCGTCTTCATGCATTGATTGAAACTCAGATAAAGAAAATCTGAATAAAAGGCTGATTGAATTGTAAGACCTATTCATTTACATTTGCAGTGATACAGTCAGTAAGTAACTGTGATAAATTAATCTTTTAATTTCGATGGTTGTTATTGTTTCAGTGAGTGTCGAAGAAGTGAAATCATCGAAAGAGATCCAACATAAGAAGGTGACCATAATTAATATTCCAGAAGTACCACCACTCAATGGCAATTGGAAGACGATCGATCTTGATGCTTTGTATGATACCGAAAAACGTTATTTGACCAAATGTGATTTGGATGATGTCTACAGAATACTCGAGTATGTGAAAGACCAGAGGATGACTTCCTATTTATTCGCTTTTATTTGTCTTATCTAGATCTTCATCTAATGGACTCACAGATAACCAGATCAACGAACGTCTCGCGAAAGTAAGTTATTCGCATTTTTGTTTAGGAACAAAAATTGAATATATCCACGTGAACAACTATGTCATATATCAAGAGTTCGATAAAAGTTCTCTTTTGTGACGTCGATTCGAAACTTAACGGCAATCGATTAAAAATTGAACAACTCAAGAACGACATGTCTTACTGATTTGTCCTTTTCAGCATGGAAAGGACAAATCAGTAAGACATGCCGTTCTTGAGTTATTCAGTTTTTAACTGAGTACCTTTGAATCTTGAATTGACATTAATTTATAGAATCTGTATTGATACTCAAGTAACTGAAGTGATCATAACGCATGAATAATTGATCTGAACTGAATATATTGACTAGAAGCGACAGTATATATATACGGCTCAAGACAAACATAAGGATGAATCCGCACCCTTAATCTACAAAGTAATATAGGCCTCTTTTTGAGATTTGATATCACTAAGACATCTGGCTTCCACTAATCCTTTAATTATGAGGTCCGTGTATATACACAACATACTATATCATACCTGTCGAGTGTTCTCGTGTCCTTTACTTTACGAAGATGATATATACTGGCGTAACTGAAGACTTGACATCCCTGAAGAACATGAGAGTATGTTACGCGCCATTACTGAAGCAAAACCTCTTCAGACAAAGCACTTCACTATTAAAGTATTATCACAGATTCTTCAACAGCGATTACACCCTTATTCTGCCTTTATTTTGCTTTACACAATCTGGTTAGATCTAGGGGTGGCACTTTAACTTTATTTTACTTTAATAAAGTAAAGTAAAGTAAAGTAGGTCTACTTTACCCGAAAAGTAAAGTAAAATAAAGTAAAGGAAAGTGAATTGAAGTAAAGTGAAGTATCTTTTACTTTACCGAAAAAATAAAATGAAGTAAAATAAGATAAAGTAAAGCATGCAGTTGATTATTATTGATTTATTAGTTCATTATCACACATTAATTACATTTCAATACGTCAAAAGTTGCGTCGGATTATGGACCGAGGGCCTCGAAAAAGCTGCACCTAATTTTATTGCCTTGAGAATCAGCATTGAACCCTGACTATTTTTCATAATTTTATTTTCTACTTTATCACAACCCAATTTTTCACACCTAGGGTCTCCCTCAGGTATTGAAAAAAATTTTTGTCGCTGTTCTATTACAAGTCTTTGTAGTTCAACAGTATTTAGTTCGCTGATTACAAATATTTTATTTGTTTTCAAAAGTACTCAGATAATAAGAAAGTGGTGGCGTATCTAGAGGGTGGCTAGAGAGGACGCCGTCCTTTCACCAAAAGTCTTTGCCCTCCCACCGACAAGAAGGAAAGCTTAATAATTATCTTGAAATTTTTATCATTTTTCTAGCATGTTATATAGCTTTAGAAATTCAGTTGACGAGGAGCGGATGCGTCTTTCAACTCTAATGAAATTTTACTTGAAAAAAAAATTCTTGTTCGAAATAAAAGGGTACGTATATGAATAATAATCAGGAATTATTTACATTTATTATGAGTTTAGAGTAATATCTGATACAAAAAGTGTAGAGGATGTATTGATAGCAGAGATCGAATCGAACCGAGTTTTACTGGTTCGAGTTAGATTCGGTTCACCTTTCTTTTCTAAAATAGAGCTCAGGTTCTGTTCATATTTGTTTTCTTAAAATCAATTCGGATTCTGTTGGGTTCGAGTGTGTTTCAAAAACTCCAGATGTGGAGCGTGGGGTGTGAGTATATGATTTGGGTGCGAGCGAAGACAAGGCTCACATACACACCCACACTCTGAGTTTCTGAGTATTGCGTATTTTCTGAAGTTCTGTTTAAAACCTAAATTTCTCGATGTTTATAGTATATGTTGCAATCTTTACTGACTCTTACTGCAAAAATTATTCACTTCTACTAACATTATTTGTCTCGAGCGTAATCTAGAAGATCGTGCAATTCTGTATATTTTTATGAACGAAAAAATTAAAAAAGTATGAAACAAATCATTTTACATCCTCGGACAATAGTATTTTCTCTCTTGACGTTTTTATGCTGTCATACTTTGTACCAAATTTATTACTGAGTAAAGATATGACATAAGAGTTTTATTAGTGTAATCTGTACACCAAAATGAAATAAAACTTTCATGTCATATCTCTACTCGGTAATAAATTTAATACAAAGTTTGACATCGTAAAAAGATAAAGATGGGAAAGATTTTTGTTCGGGGATGCAGATCCTAAAAGGGAACGTATGCATGATTTTTTCATGTATTTAATTCCTAAGAGAGAGTCAAAGAATCGATTTTAAAATGAAATGGCCAATCTAAAACTTGAAATTGGTGTAGGTTTGCTGTCTATTTATCTATTCGAAAATTGACGGCCTAGAACATGAGTGATTACTGTATTAAGATTGTCAACAAATTTTGATAGAAGATTACATTTGAGACACTATATCTCAACAAGAGTTTAAACACGCATCTTTGCGCATCAACTGAAAATAGATGATGACATGTCCTACCAAATAATAAATTAAAACTTGAATTAAAGCTCCGAGAAAATTCGAGGAAATAACTGCATTATTGATCAGTGCTTATTTTTTTACTATACTGAGTTTAAGTGTTTGTTTTTATTATAGCCTAAGGAATTTCAAGAAGTCCAAATGGCCTGTAATATATAGTAAATAGATAACATTGTATAACTTTATAATAATTAATGAACATAATTAGATCCTCAATTTAAAGCATAGATTTTACTTATATGATCCTATTAATGGTATGCACCTATTTTATATAATTTGTGGGATCGGCTGCTTAACAGACACTGGCTAAAAGCAGCGTCCATGATGCACTTAAATGCAGCACGATAATAGCTTTAATGCTAGCTATGATATAGGCTCAAATCTTGAAAATCGATTTTGTTGCCTAACTATCCACTGTTGTGGGGAGGGTAGAAGACGCTAAGGGCTCTCACGCCGTGATGCTGAGATAAAAGTGTAGTTACGCGAGAAAAAGGCTTTTTAGACAGTTGAATGTTTCATTCTCTATCCATACGCATCTCGTTATGATGCAAACTGTATTGGAGTTCAAAAGGAGCATCTACTGTTCTCACCAGAAAAGGAAACTTATCAAAACGACTGCACATAATAGTATATTTGATATTAGACTGTCCTTTGTCATTACTAGCCATCAAAAGAGCGGTATTACTGTTGATTATGAAAAGATAGTTAATGCTTTCTCAATTCAGCATAAAAAACCGTCGAATACTGTTAAAATGGTTATTTTTTGTGTATTTCCCTTTTGTTCTTCCCTTTATTAATTTAATTTCATTCAATAAAAGAACAGATGTATTGTTTTGTATTACTCACCAGGAACTAGATAATTGAAAAACTTGATTTATACTGAAGACAAAATTTATAATGACGTGGAGAGAGCTTGAAGGACGGTGGGCACTGCCTTCCTACCCACAATTTCCTGGATATGCCACTATAAGAAAGAGCGGACGCACTTCCTAACAGCATTAAAAACCAACTGTCGACCAGAAAGTTCATTAAAATACGACCAGATTCATTTCATCGAAGTTATACTTTTCGGGTAAAGTAAGGTAACTTTACTTTACTTGATAAAGTAAAGATAAAGTACCACCCCTAGTTAGATCCTTATTCACTATAGGATAGAATAAGATTATTCTGTAGAATTGCATTGGTTCGTTAGACCTTCAAATTTTTTCTTTTTGTTTTTTCTCGCATTATCTAAATGACTGAGCAGTGTCCGACACGGGTCGGATCGGATCATTTTGTCTGAATATTCACTAGACATCAAAAATCATTTTGAAGGTTTTTTTGTCATTTAAAAGCTCTATCGAGGTGAATGGAAAAGCTTAGTAGTACAAGAATGTATGTATCATATACTGTTCTGTTTTATTTTATTGTTTTATTTTTATTGTTTTCTCTTTATTGAGATAATACAAACATGTACAGCAAATGCGCTGCCTGTTAATAGTGATAGAGTGTTTCCAATTTATGTACATAAGAGAAGGAAGACAAATAAGAAAAATTCTTTTACGCAATTGTGCTTTATTAACTAAGCCGTATAAGCGAAATATAGATGACGAAAAAAGTTCAAGGACGTTTTACTTGTTTTCAGCCATAAAATGAGAGGAAGAAAAGAAAAAAAATGAGAAATTGAATTTCTCAAGAGAAATAGAAAGAGAAAAGTGGTCGGTATATGTGAATGTGTATGTTAGCCGAACGAAAAAAGAATGTTAGTATAGATAGCGTATATACATCGAATAGAAAAGATGAAGGAATGTTAGTGTTGATAGGATATGTACATCAAATAGAAAAGAAAAAAGAAAGGAGTGAGTGTATTTATCCAAGTACGACAGTGCTGGTACATGAATATAGTAGAGACGACATTTTGAGAGAACTCTCAAACAGAAGATAATGATAAATCACGTGAAAAAAATAGGAAAAGAAATAAAAAAGAAAGGGTGTGGGTGTTCTCTTCCTTCATACCCACACCCACATTCACACCCACACCCACACACCCACACCCACACCCACACCCACACCCACACCCACACCCACACCCACACCCACACCCACACCCACACCCACACCCACACCCACACCCACACCCACACCCACCCCACATACTAGAGACATGATGCTGTGCAGACATTATTAAAGATGAAACTTTACTTTTTCAAAAGGAATCGTAGATAAAGAACTCATTGTTTAGTTTGGTTCAAATACAATCGAACACAAAGATCGTAATCCGATCATTCAGTTCTTTCTTTTCATGTGGAATCCGCTTTCATGGTGAGTTTGTTTAAACAATATGATTCACGTAAATAAAAGATGTTCTGTAGGGTAATGGAAGCTGCTGCTATAGTGGCTATTGCATTAAGCAATGGTGGTGGTGAACCTCCAGATTGGCCAGATTTTATCGGCATTGTTTTGCTTCTTCTTATTAATGCCACTATTGGTTATATCGAAAAATATCGAGCTGGTAATGCTGTTAAAGCATTGATGGCTTCCTTAGCACCGGAATGTCGAGTGAAACGCAATAATGGTATATGGTCGACAATACAGGCTAGTGAGCTTGTTCCAGGCGATATTGTTGCTATTAAATTAGGAAATATAGTGCCGGCTGATGCTCGAATCGTGTCGTCACCTGGTGGAACAATATCTTTGGATCAAGCAGCCCTCACTGGTGAATCATTACCTGCATCCAAAACAATCGGTGATACAATTCTTTCATCGACCATATGCAAACAGGGCGAATGCGAAGCAATAATCATTGCTACTGGAATAAATACGGAATTTGGACGTGCAGCAAAGATTGTTGATGGCGCAAGAGATGAAGTAGGCCATTTGCAGATGATCTTAGCCAAAATTGGCAATTTTTGCATTGTTGGCATCGCCATTTTTATCATCGCCGAAATCTTTGTCATGTATGTCGGATTTCACTACAGTTATCGACAAGGAATCAATAATATTCTGGTTTTACTCATTGGAGGATTGCCGATCGCTATGTGAGCATAGTTAAACTCGAATGATTGATATGTTTCTCCTTCTTTTTTTAGGCCAACCGTATTATCGGTCACTCTGGCTATTGGTGCGAAAGAATTGTCCGCTCGTAAGGCAATTGTCACTCGCATTACAGCGATTGAAGAGCTCGCTGCTGTAACCATTCTCTGTTCCGATAAAACTGGAACACTGACGCAGAACAAATTAGTTATTGATAAAGATACAATTGTGAAATATACGGATGTTGAACCAAATGACATCATACGTTATGCAGCCTATGCATGCAATCAAGAAAATTCCGATGCAATGTACGTACTACAATTTCCACATAGATATATTTGTCTTTTTTTTGATACATATAGTGATACATGCGTATTAGATTCTTTTGGCAAAGCTGATTCAATAGACGAAATGATTATCGTCAAATCGTTTTGTCCGTTTGATCCAACAACTAAACGAACAGAAGTGATCTACCAAGAAAAATCGAGTTTGTCGATATATCGAGTTACGAAAGGAATGCCTGAAACTATTCTACGACTGTGTACAAAAGACAACTTAGAATCAGCAAACGAACGGGAGAAAGTACGATCAGATGTCAATAAATTTGCAAAACGTGGCTTACGTGCCTTGGCTGTGGCCATTGCCGCTGGCAATGAAAATTTCACATTGATTGGACTTTTGCCCATTTTCGACCCACCACGAGAAGACACGAAAGACACAATCACGAAAGCAATTGCACTGGGTATTTATATTGTCCTTCTATTTTACAAACTCTACTAGTTATACTCCAAAGTAGAAGCGAAATCGCTTGAGGACGAAACACCGATATATTTGCCCGATTTTGAAATAGCTCGTAATGGAGTTTTGCCGAGGGCTTGTAGCACTGTGATAATGTTCTCATTTGCCCTCTTTGTGATGAGTATATTATCTCATAGTCTGAAAAATTTCATTTGTTTCAAAAGTAATCTCGTCATTGATGAGTGAAACTTTCGAATCGATTTCTTTTCTCTTTGCAAGAGAGAAAGTGCTGGTACTCAGCACTTTGACACCTCAGCATATGGTCAGCACCTCGACACCCAGTCGGCACCTACAGCACCTTCAGCTACTTTTCCACTATCTTAACTGCTTTTCTCAGCACCTTATAGTAAAATTTGAAGCCTAGGTTCTGTTCTTTAAATTTTACTACAAGGTGCTGTAGGTGCTCATAGTGAAATGCGCTGAAGATGCTGATTGGGTGCTGTAGGTGCTGATTGAGTGCGGTAGGTGCTGACTGGGTGCCGAGGCGCTGATCAGGTGCTGAGGTGCCAGAGTTCTGGGTACCAGCACTGACCCCTTGTCTCTTTGACTGTTCTCATTGGTTGTTTTGCAGGCATCAGAGTTAAAATGATTACGGGTGATCAGCTAGAAATTGCCAAAGAGACAGGACGTCGTTTGGGCATGGGTGATGTAATGTATGTGTATGAAGATATAATCAATTCAAAAGATGGGCAACAATCATCCATAGACGAAGACAAAATCAATGAAACAGTTCTCGAAGCAGATGGATTCGCCAGCGTCTTTCCCAACCATAAATTTGAAATTGTGGAACGACTCCAAGATATGGGTCATCTAGTGGCTATGACTGGTAATTCTGTCAATTTTAATATCACTTGTTCATTGTTTCATGTTAGGTGACGGAGTTAATGATGCTCCGGCTCTGGCCAAGGCCAATGTTGGTGTGGCTGTATCAGATGCATGTGATGCAGCTCGATCAGCTGCTGCTATTGTTCTCACTGAACCGGGTCTTTCAATCATTATCGATGCAGTACACGGTTCTCGACAAATTTTTGTACGCATGACTAGCTATTCTATCTATACCTGTTCGGTTACTATCCGGGTCATCGTCGGTTTTGCATTGCTCGTCTTTATTTTCCGCTATAATTTTCCGTCATTCATGATTCTTATCATGGCCATTCTCAATGACGGAACCATCATGACTATATCAAAAGATCGTGTTCAATCGTCACCTGAACCTACCCAATGGAATTTGAAACGAATTTTCATTTCAGCTATCGTCTATGGTCTCTATTTAGCTGCATCAACCTTAGTCTTTTTCACGATTGTTACCAAAACTAGCTTCTTTCAAGATCACTTTGGTGTGTATACGATTCAGCCGACAGCTGATGGTGGCTATTCAGATGGTTCCTTACATGCAATGATCTATCTACAAGTGTCATCAATTAGTCAGGCCTTGATCTTCATCACCCGATCACATGGATTCTTTTTCGCAGAACGACCAACTCTCCTGTTGATTGCTGCTTTTGTCATCACGCAATTGTGTACCACATTGATTGCTGTCTATGCCAATTGGACATTTACCGAGATCGTTGGCTGTGGATGGGCTTGGGCAGGTAAACATTTAGATCAGTTATCAAAAATTCTATTTGAAAACTTGTTTTTGTGTATCATACACGAACCATTTTAGAATTAGTTCGCTGGCTGATTGCTCATCCGAAATTGACACCGTCCAAATGGTGGGACTCAGTTCTCTAACAAAATGATTGTGAAAAAGCAGAAGAAACTGCATGCACAATCAGACTTGAAGCTAGACCAGCTGATTTCCTAATTACCGATCCGATCCAGTTGAGCTTTTAAAATTGACCGATTTTCGCCGGTTTCTTGATGCCTTTTTATCAATTTTTAGGGCACTGAAGGCAGTCAACTTTACTCGTCCTTATCGTTTTTCGTGGTTTTAGGAGTGTAGAAATATGAGCTCGAAAATTTCCAGCGGGCAAATTTGTAGTCCTAACCAAAATTCAAGCTCTAAATTTTAAGTTTATGCTTTCTCAACATACAATGAGGGTTTTGGATCAAGTTGAATGTATTGATTATAGTCACTTTTCTAAACTCATTTTAACCGACTGTCACAGATTCTCAATGATTAAGAGTCTTCAGTTCATGTTTTCGTTATAAAAATATCAGAAAACATTCCCTTCTCGTGTGGTAAGTATGCCAACCCTAACTCAATACAGCTGTAAAAATTCTTAATATTAAGAAGTCTAAACATATAAAGTCTAGTATAAAAACCACACTTTATAGGTCGTTTTATTTGTCTTCTTATCGACAGTAATAGTCTTCTATAAAACTGAAATCTTCGCTTGCAGTCAATTTTTAAAGTGACTTCCACTGTAGAGCTCCGCGCTTGAACTCCGTCTAGTTCGGTAGAATGGTTTGATTGCTGTTTGAGAATCATGGGAATAAAATTTTGTAGATTGTTTTATCTGCAATGGCTGTGATAATTATTAGTTGCTCTTCTTAGGTATTGTTTGGATCTATAATCTCATTTGGTTTGTTCCACTGGATTTCATCAAATTTGGCCTCCAAGCGTCGTTCAATCGCAGTCTAGATGTTGTACAACCTTTTGGTCGTTTGCATCGTCGCCATGTTCCAACAAAGTCACCGGAAAATGTCATTGTGCCACTAGAGACCTCCTCAAGCCCGGTATCCGCTCACAAGGAATTGAAACCACAAATATCGCGACAAATATCACGACAAATATCGCGACAAATATCGCGACAAGCTTCACGGGGAGCGTCAAAAGAAGGAGAGGTACATGGAGATCGCTCAGAACCAGCGTCAGGATCAATAAAAACAACATTGGATCAACTGACACAAATCGGTTCCTCTTTCTACGCGCCTTATACAGATACACTCTCGATATTAGGACGCCAAAATTCACTCTTGAGATCTCTGTCTACACCTTAATCGATGGTCTTTTTTCTTTTGTCTATCTGCCTTTCTGAAATCATTGAACGAATATCTGATTTCGTTCTTTACATCAATGTACAAAGATAAAAAATGAGTGATATATGAATTGATCAATAAACTACACTTATTACATCAAAAGAAGATCTTGTTTTTTGCAACAGTAAAGCCAGCACATCGTATTCTCGCCTAGAATCACATTCTTCAATATCAGTTCAATGAAAAGAAATGCCACAGAGATGATGTCTCGCAATCAGATCAGAGATTTATGGAACAGAATTTCGCTGACTGATGACAAAGATAGTAGTGCTCGGGAAGCAACGGTAGAATCCTATAGGGATGACTTTTCTTGGTTCCCATTTCTCGTCTCCAGTGAAATTTTTGTCTCTGTTCTAGTAAGCAAAAGTGTAAACCAATGTATGGATCGAATGTAATGGCTGACTTTATTGTTGCTTCCTTTTTTCTTTTAGTACGGCAGTTGAAAATGCTTAAGCATTTCTGTATGTAGGCAGTGGCAACTGGAAATTTTGGAAGTTTTCTTAAGTCTACAAAAAATCTGGACTAAATTTGGGGTTTAGAGCCAAAACCTTGATATTTGAATTTAGATTTGGGACATCGGCTTGGACTTGTGTCTGGATTCGCACAGACTTATATAAATAGTTTGAAATTTGGTAATAGTTCTTTTGAATGAAAGTGAACTGTCCCAAAAATCTTTATTGTCATGAAAGAAACGAAATTGTTCTGTTATGAGAATTTGTTTTCCAACAACAGAAAAGTTTTATTTTATTCATGAAAATAAAAAGTTATGGGACAGTTAGGTTCCATTCAAAAGAGCTGTTACAAAATCTCTAACAATTTGTATACGTTTGTCCAAATATATAGAGAACACGAATCGTATAACATAAATATTATGGCATCTATTTATTGAAAACTACAGGTAAATAAACAGAGAAGCACAACGTTAAAATTATGGAAAAATATTTAATTGAGAAAAAAAGAACTAAATCTTTTCTATTTCTTGTTTATGACGAAAGGTTAAAGACTTTTCACACGCCCAAGAAACGTAATTTACTTTTATGCATACTGAGTAGTTAAATTTTCGAGATGTTTCTGAGTTCGATGAGTCATTTCTCAGTCTTCCTTATTTATTTATCCTTATATGTTGTTGAACGGCGAAGGCAACAAAATAATTATCCTTCGACGAAACGTCCTATTGAGAAAGTGCTGTTCGGCCAAGAATTTTGGGCGAAATGTCTTGCAAACGAAATGTTCCTCTACAAAACATGTTCGACAAAAATACTCTCGAAAAATGATTCTAAAAAGTGAAAGTGTTCAAAACTATCATCTGCTTTTGACACGGCGACAACCTTGGTTCAGCTTATCGGCTTACACTACTCATATTAAGATTTTCCGAATTCCTATTCTTGTTTCATCTTTTACAATTGCAAACTACGAGAGCTGGCAGAATTCATCACCAGCAGAATTTAAGAATTCTGTTATAGAACGAACATCGTATACCATTGAGACTTCTCTATATTGTAATCAAAATTCTGCTTAGAATTCTATTTTTTCATTAGAATTTAACTGGAATCTAGTCAGAATTCTAATTTCCTACCAGAATTGTGCTAACCTTACACACCTATTTCCACATCGAAATCAAAATTCTGCTTAGAATTCTGTTTTTCCATTAGAATTTACCTAGAATTCTACTTTCCTAGCAGAATTGTGCATCATCATATACACATATCCCTGCATCGAAATCAAAATTCTGCTTAGAATTTTGTTTTTCCATCAGAATTGTCCTAGAATTATTAAAATTTTGATTTTGAAGTAGAAATGTCCTTGATCGTGCACTCAAATCTCAAAACTACACATATTTCGAATATTTTATTGCTCTTTTCTGCAGTCTTGCAAACGATTAGAATAAAAAACTAGGTGATAGAAAGAGAGGTGAATTGATGATGACTTTTTTTTCCAACATATGAGTCATATTAACAGATTAATTATTCCCTTGCTTAGCAATGAATATGTTTAGATTTGTTTATCCCACTCTTTTCTGTCGTGTATTTTGCTTGGAGAATTTTGTCAACATTGTTTAATAAAATAAAATAGATCAGCGAAATTTTTATATACCGCGCTGTCAAATGCAAAGAATCAATATTTTCACCTTTTGTTTTAATTCATTCGTCAAGGGTGTGGGTGGGTGTGGGTGTGAGTCAAAGTATTCTATTCATCCACACCCACACCCACACCCACACCCACACCCACACCCAAACCCACCCTTGCCATTCTTAGACATCTCAATTCGTCGTCTTTTAAATTATAACACTTCATGGTTTTGTACGGATATTTATCGTAAACCTACGTTTACAGGTCTTATTCTAAAGTGGAACTCTTTGGTGCCCTTGGAATATAAACGTAGTGTAATATCCAGTATGGTCTATAGAGCCCTTCGAATTATTTCTGATTATTCGTTACTTCACAAAGAATTCTTATTTATTCGAAAAATTGCTGTTTCTAATGGATATCCTCTTCCATTTGTACTCAAAGTGATTCGAGTGACTTTTGAAAGATATCGACTTGCTTCTTCTTCTACTCCTTCTTCTTTTAAAATTGATCAAAACAAATTTAATAAGAACACAAATGTTTCTATTAAGGAAAATTTACAGAAGAATCAGGTTTTGTTAGTTGATATACCTTATGTGGGAAGACTTACTTCTACTTTTGGAAAAAATTGTTGAATGTAGCCAAACAGGTCAAACCAACATTACACTTACAACCTATACCACGTCCCTTTCCAAAAGTCCAAACTTTATTTGCACGGAAAGATCCCGTACCAAGGAAATTATTGTCAAATGTGGTTTATAATGTCAACTGTACGGGTTGCTCAGCAAGTTATATTAGAAAAACTTGGCGTCAAGTTTCCAGACGGTTTGAAGAACGCGGTAAAATGAGGCTACTATCTTCTCCTCCCCCACAACATTTTCCAACATTAACAACTACATTAATGTTTTCTCAACGCCCTAAACGAAATGTTCCTATTGTTAACTATGCATTAAATGAAAAAATTCTCGATGAAGCTATAGAAGATACTCCCAAATTATCTGATGAAAAGAATTTAAAATTTTCTCAATCAGTAATTTATCAACATGAAGTAGAGACAGGGCATTCGATTGATTGGGATAACTGGAAATTATTGAGCAACGATCAGAAATTTTATCGTCTTTTAATACGTGAATCGATACAAATTTCAAAACTTGAACCTTCACTTAATCGAACTGTGCGTTCAGTTCCTCTGGTCATTTATTCGGATAGTTCGTCATTATTTAAAACAAAAGCCAAGATGAAAGCAGGTGTATAGTGAAGTGCCATGGGGGGATTTATTTCTTAATATTAAGAAACAAATTTAGTCCTTCCTATAGAGGTCTTTGCCTCAGCAAAATGGCTATATATATGACTAATTCTATTATTTGTACTTTTAAATGTAAACTTTAATCATTTTTATCTTTTTTGTCTGATGATGCGAGTTGAACTCTCGAAAAGCTTCACATTTTTGTAATAAAATTTAAAATAGTTATGGATAAATTCTCATCTGCTGTTAAACTAATTCAGTGTTAACAACTTCAACTGTTTCTCTTGTATCCCATGAAACAACATGTTAATTACATAAAGCATAAGTAACAAGAAGATAATCACCAGGAATTCTAATAAGATAAAGAAAACCATGAAGTAAATTAAACATTTCATTTCGATGTAGACGATCAGTAACAATAAATGTAGCTGCAACACTTGGTAAAAAAAACAGCACTTGAATCTAAGAAAGCAGATTTAACAATTTGAGCAGCTGTTCCTACAAGTACCATTGACATAACCAATGCATAAATAGCTAAAATTTATTTATAAAATCAATTTTATATAAAAAATAAAATTCTATTTTACCAGTCATAATAGCACCAATTGTAATTTGTGTATCTGCTTTTGTTTTAAGACATATAAGAATATAAAAAAGTGCTGGTAATATTGATACGGTACATGATTCTGCTATAGTTAATATTGAAAAAACAATGCATAATATTGAAGGAATTCTTAATAAAATGGTTCTTGGTCCTCACATTGTTGAAATAAATAAAACAGCCTGATAAAACATATATGATTTTGAAATAATTTCATTAATATGTGTTGTAATTCGATTGTGCGCATTTTGATAATGTTGGATATTTCTGAGTCGTCATTATTTAATTTGAGGAAGGAAATGAAGGTAATACGTGAATTACAACAAGAGCAAGTGAATGAAGAAGAAGAGAAGCGCTTACGACTTCGATCAGCGTCACAAACTCAATCGACGAATATTTCACACGAAAATCAGAATATATCAACTTGGTCTATGTCTTATGGAGTGAACACAATTCTATTGAAGGTTCCTAGTAAGATTCGGGGACGTCCATCAATTCCATTATCTGAAGAAGCTGTTGATGAAATTCGATTTCAGTTTCATTTGTTGTTGACAGAAAAAATTTATCCTACTGTTGCTATTCTTCTTGAACGTCTTCTCACAGCTCACAAAGATTTTCCAATTCGTTCACAGACAGCTCTTCGGCGGCATATGCATCGATTGAGCTTTTCCTATCAAATGACAAGCAAAGTAAAGGTGGCACTAGATGATAACTCTTTCGTGGCTCAACATGCTTTTTATTTCCGTAATCTTGACGAATTGCGAAAAGCTGGTACTTTAGTTTTGTTTCACGATGAAACGTGGGTGAATGTCGGCGAGGAGAAAAGATCAATCTGGATTGATGATTCTGGTAAAGGAAGGCTTAGAAAAACCGATGACAAAGGTAATATACTAACAATTATGCCTGGTATAATATTCATATATATTTTTTATTTAGGTTCTCGTTTGGGAATATCTGCTATGATCGATAAGAATAGTTTTCTCTTTCCATCTGTTGAGATCTTCAACTCTTCAGAAGATCATTCAATGACCTCAGCACATTTTATTTATTGAATAGATTAAAAAAACAGCTTTTTGCCTGAGAGAGGATAACGGTAAATTTTGCTGAAATAAGAGTTTCTTAAATTTTATTTTTGAAATTAGGTCAAAATCGAAGAATAGCCATAGTGATCGATAATGCCACATGGCATTCAGAACTTACAGAAAGTTCTAAACCTACCAAAAGATCAATGAGAAAAAATCAAATAATTGAATGGTTGGAAAATCATGGAATTGAATTTGATTCGACATTCAAAAAATCGGAATTACTAGAGATTGTTTTGGAGAATAAACCCAAAAAAAAATATAAAGTATAGATAGTTTTATAATACTCATATGTTATGAACTTATATTACTTAGGTTGACGAGGTCGCATAAGAGTTCGACGTACAAATCTTGCGGCTGCCAGTGCGACATTGTTCATTAAATCCCGTCGAGATCGCTTGGGCTAGATTAAAAGAATATGTTCGTAAAAACAACACTAACTTCTCGTTAACTAACGTCTATGAATTAACTTCTGAATTTATTGCTGGTTTCGATGACAAAGCTGCACAAAGTGCAATTCGTCGTGCTGAAAAAGTGGAAACAACGAACAAAGCAGCAGATGAATTCTTAGAAAATACGGTGAAGCCACAATTAATCGACGACGTATCAAATATCGAGACTGATAATCTTTCTGATGCTAGCGATGATAGCACCGAACTTTGACTTTATTGACTGGTAGTTTTTCGTGCAATAGATTCATAACATTGAAAATACAAAGAAAAAGAAGCAAGAATGTATGGTGGACAGTATCATTTGCATTAGATTCAGAAGAGAGCTATAGAATACAGTGGTGATCGAAGTGAATTATGTCAGAATGACTAGTCACTTGTCGTTATGGGACTTAAATTGGTCGAAAACTCTCATGCACCAACAATGAAAAGATTCTTCTCTCTCGAAAACAAAAAAATCATATTTTTGACACGCTACAGATACTCAGTGTAACTTGAATAACTTTTGAACACTACAAGATAAAAAATTCGAGCTTTCGTAGATTAAGAGAGCAAACTTTGCGCTATTGAATGATCACCGTGGAATTAAAAATCTATTCGAAAACGTTTTTGTCCGGTAGGGCATAAAATCTTCAACGGTAATTAACAGCCTTGACCACTCGCTCACCTATTGAATTTAATATAGATTTGTCCCCGAAAGACTACTCTTTCTAACGCTGAAAAGATGAGATTGCTAGCTAGATCCGTTCGCGAGATATAACTCCTATAGTTTTCTCCATCCATTTCTGGCGCCGACATTAGAAAAGTTAAAACTTACCCAATGAACTAATCTCATTGAGAACTTTGATTGTGGAAATTCTGATGTCGAAGGTGGACTTTTCATGTGACCTGAGGACGACCACAGTTTTTTTTTGTTAAAAAATCCAGTAAAACTTCGGTGTCTCAAGAATGACAGCTCAGAATACCAAATCATTCGCGACGTTTCTATTACTTACTTAGTAAATAAACATTACCGCGATCGAAAAGCGATTTGATACCTGGAGAGATTTCCTCATTAGTTTTATTTTCAAAACTGATTCTTTGGAGTCTGTTAAATATAATCTACATACGTGCCAAAATGTCCTCTATCAAATAATATCTGTATATATATATAAATCTTTAATTTTTATTATCGATACTTATAAGATTTACAAAATAATAATAATAATAATATGCAGAAAATATGATTATACATTTTATCAAGTGTTCTATTCGATAATGGCGTGCTGGAAAAATCATTCATCAGCAGCATTTTGTTATTTGTTATAGTAAAAGAAAATATGTGCCGAAACAACGAGCTTTGAAAAAAATGATCGATATGCGTCAAGAATAGGAGATTTTTCACTTTTATCTAGAGAATCTTTCTATACAAGTGAACCATGTTCATTCATTCCAACTATAAAACAAACTATCGTATTGATGATAGAAAAATAAACATATTGTTTTTTTATTTTCATATTCGATACGGGAAAATAAAACTTACACTATTTTTGTCAAATTTTCTATTTGATAACATATTCAAATCAAATGAAAAAAAAACCAATAATCAATTCAATAGAACATATCTTATTTCACTATCTGAGAATATTTGTCATATGTGTGAATGTGTATGGGAAGGCAAAAAAATATATTTACTTGATTTAACAGAAGAAAAACAAAAATAAATTCTTTTCCGTAGTACCTTCTTCTTTTAAATACAAAGCAAATAGATATTTAATGACAAAAAATCCTTTTTCATTTCGACATGTGTTTAATAGATAAACTTAATAGAATAATTTTTTTGAAATGAATATATGTTGAAATTATTTTGGTGCAACGCATATTGGCGAACCACATGGATTGTGACAACATTTTTCAGCACCTTTGCAATCATTATCAACATCACAAAAATGTCCATCACATAAGCCCCAATATGGACTTTGTTGTTCGCTTTCAGATGTTGGACATTTGCCTGGTTTTGGTTCATTATCTTTCGGTACAATACATTGAAAACCGCATGGTTGTTCAATGCGGAAACAACATTTTTTACCTAATGGACATTCATCTTTTTCTCTTGAACATGTTGATTCACATTTCTCCGGTGGTCGAATAAATCCATAGCCAGGACAAACTTTTTCACCAGCATTGACGATTGAAATAATCACCAATAATAGTAATACAACATATGAATACGAAGACATAATCCCTATAAAAATGATTATTCTAAAATAAATAATAGACTACATATTGTGTTACTGTCAATTTAACATTGACGAAAAGGTACTATAAAATGAAAGAGTATAAATATAAAAATGAAAGTAAATATATGACAGCAGGGCATTATTCTCATCATCCTTTTAATCTGCTTATATTTTTTTTTATTTAATCTGAAGGTCAAATAATTTCTAGTAAAATACACTTCATATTTACTGATCTTCAATGTATTGAAAACAAAAATCGAATCATCTACATAGGTCATACTGATATTTTAGACATTAATACCAAGACTATAGGAAATCAAAATGGATTTTCTGATAATGATCTAGTTGCAAAATTAAGATTCAAATCGTTAAATTTTTAAAATTATAATTTAAAAAACGGAAGGAATAGAAAATTATCTTGTACTTCTATTATTTACTTTCTAATGAGCAGTGTTAAATTTATGTACAAGCATTGATAAGCAAAAGAAAAAGCATAAATTCAATACCAAAAATGATCATGAATAAAAGAAGATTAAGGCATGTTTAATAGGTATATGATAAGAAAAGGAAACGACAAGAGACCAAATAAAAATTTCTATAGATTAAATGAGAAAACATTACGCAAGCTATCATAAAAACAAAGTCATAAGTGAATAATAGAATTAATTGTACCGATTAACTTCAACTGGGACCTTCTTTAATTAATAAAAATTAGTGCCATGAGAAACTTACAGAATTCGTTCTTAACTAATTTCTAAAAAGATTGGAATAAGGTATTTTATTAACTGAATGATCATCTAACATTTACTTTAATGGAAGAAATATGAGCAATAGCACACAAGAACATTAAGTGAAAAAAAATGATTCTTTAATAGTATGTATATTTTATTTTCACACATTCTTCACACTTGATATCACGTTCCAAATCGATGAGATTACCATCTAAATATTCGTCAAGATGAAATTCAAGCATTAAAGAGTGAAGGTGTGTTGATAGGTCTTCTATATCAGAGATCTGCGAAGCAGCTGAGAAAAACCGTTTTTCCACCGCCTTGCCAATCACCTAGCATAGAAATCGGTGTTTTTTCTTCATGCATTTTTTGCAACTTCATCTATGAATTACTATTTCTTTTATTTCATAAGATCAAATAAAATATATTTAATACATGTAAATACGTTCAAAAAACAAAAATATATAAAGAGATCAAAATGAATAAGTATTACTTAAACCATCAGCAATAGACTAGCGTTCGATATTAGCTATAGTTATTGGAATTGAATAAATTGATCGAGCACGTTTTGAGAAGTCGGGATAAATGAATCGTAAGGAGATAGGATGAAGCGTCAAATCTCATACCATCTCGTACTCGCCTCGATGTTGAAAACCTTTGCTCGACCCGCAGCGAGGCGAGGCGGTATGACTTGACGATTTGCGGATGTCCATTTTATACATTCATACCTGCACACGTACCTACTCCTATATATTGATAGATCAATTAGGCCGATTATTAAATTTTAATTGTAATGACGTGAAGACAAATTTAGAAGAGACAACTTCGGAATCAGTTGATGTGGAGATAATTTATTACAGATGTATATGATTCCAATCAGGTCGCTTCAAATTGTGCATTTTAATTTTCAATCAATGATATACTAAATTGAATGGTGACACAAACTATTTATTTATATCATTCAAATATTCCTTTAATATAACTATTGTATTCTATTGAAAAGATTCAGATTTTAAGTTATAGAAGTATGGAGATTGTCATGTTTGAAATTTACTATCCTGATTGATACGAAAAGAAAATGTAGTAAGCTAGGGTATGGATGTTCCTTTTCTTTTCAACCACACTCACACCCCCACTCAACGAGTCGCCACATCCACTGCTGCTCTCACTATCACAATTATAACATCGGAAGACTTCACTTGAGCAAATACCTTTAAGATTAATAAAATCATTTTCAAATGAGATTTACAAAATAGTATCCTTCCTTTCTAACTTACTCAGAGATAGAAGGAGAAAAAAACAAATCAATCTCATCATTGAGTCGATTAAAAGAAAGAAATGATTTACAAGAAAGAAACAGTTGCGTTCGATCACTTTCTCTCTTCTCTTGCTACAAAATGACTATCGTCTTTTTCTCTATTCCTATGTACATTTTTTTG